AGGGTCTGGCTGGTAGTGCCAAGTCATCCGGTTGTGGGCCGGCTTCAAACAGTTTAAACGACCACTCAGGGGTGAATCTGAGATTTGGACTTCAGGCGGTCCATCTTGTGAATATTGATATTGGTGGGCCGATCAACACCCATAAATGGGACAAATGCATACAAATGCAGCGTTCTCTACGAACCATACTGTGCTCTACTACAGTACTGAATAGGCTGACCCAGAAATCGCCACACTTACAACTTTATCACTGGTGGGTACTATCGCGTAGAGAATATTAGAATATAAAATTATCAATGCCTACTAGCCTACTGCCTACTGTAGGAAGTGGCTTGCCATGCCAATTCATAATCCTGCACCGTTTCAGGTGGCACTTTTCCGCAAGGCACAACGATTGCCATCGTCGCAGAGCCCAGGGGTCAGGGGGCTGGCAATAACCCAACCCCTGTTGATTGTTTATCGTTGAACCAGTATAAAGTGCTGACAGAGGGTTTTGCACAGTGCTCAAGCTTCAAGTCCCACCAGTCAGCTGAGGACCTCCAGCGCAGATCAAACTCCAAAGGAAGGTGCGCCATGACGAAGCTTGAAGTAAAGCCACCTGGAAAAGACTGAAAAATTGAATCCATGGGCACAAATAGAAGTTGAACCTCAGGTGGCAGTGTGTGTGTGTGTGACTTTTCGGGTTTTCACTGCCTAATTTGATATGGGTTTGTGGCCGCAGGGTCTTAAATTTGGACCTATATCCATGTAGAGGGGTAAGTAGTATTTTGTCTCAACCTGCAGGTGCTCATATTTTACAGCTTAATTTTGGCATTTTCTGGCCATCGAATATCAGCAGTCTGAAAATCGCAGTCACTGGTTTAAGCTGGGCCCTCATAGTAATATTGAGTATTTGCTCGATTTGCTGTGTCACTATGTGTCACTATGTGTCACTATGTGTCACTATGTGTCACTATGTGTCACTATGTCATCCTATGAATTCAACTCTGTGGCAATATAAGCTTCTCAAAAGATCATGGTGGAAGCAGAGCCAACGCAATACTCTTGGAGCTGCAGGTTCCCCACAATTCCTTGACGAACTTGTGATCGCATGCATCGCTTTCCGCAGCTGAGAAATATGTCGCAGCGTATGAGAAGACACCAACGAAAATGCTGCAACTGTCATCAAGATCTCTGATGATTCTGACAATGTAGCAGTTAGAATTTGCCATCTTTGTCCCTGTGAACTTCTGAGCGGATTTGTATCACCATATACATTTTCTAAACTCTGTACGGTGCCAAGGGGGTTGCGCCAAGTTGCCCGTGTGGGCATGGGCGCAGGACATGAAAGTGAAAAGTGAAAGTGGGTTTATACACCCCATTATGTATACATATATAATCATATATATCCCATTATATCCCATTAAATCACATTAAATCCCATTATATCCCATTAAATCATATAAAATCCCATTAATTCCCATTAAAAACCATTGAATTTCACTAGCATCCCTCTTCTTCTTGGGTTTATCCTCGCCAAACGGTGCCATCCAGTTTTCACGTCGCCAGGTGAGGATGATGGGGGTATCAAGGCAGACCTTCAAACGTTGCTTGTTGCGCGGGTTGGGCCGGGACGATGAAGCAATCAGTTCTTTACGGATTTCTTGGGAATAAAATGGAATAAATAACGGTAAATGGATGTCTTGAAAGGGTGGTTTTAACCATCAAACAATTGGGATTTAATTGATGGGATTTATAGGGATTTACCCTCTGCTCATTTCACGTAGCTCTGGAAAATCACCATTTGTTTATAGGTAAATCATCTCTCAATGCGTATGTTGCATTGCTGGAGGGTACTGTTTTGAGACAGCCCAAGGCTTTTGAATCATGATGTTCTGACGGCCCTCATTGGTTGCTTTGAGTCGTCTGGGCCTTGGTCATGCCGTTGAGGAGTTGGGTGGGTTCGATGCCCCAAAGTTCAGCTTGGGCTCATATTGTTCCATGATGTTCCAGGTTACCTGGGCACATGACATCAATCAATTTTTTCATGGAACATTGGAACGACCTTTTCCACCACCTGAGCACTTAAATGGTTGTACTACCATAGAAAAGAATCTTCGAATCTTCAAAGTATCCTAAAGTGGCCTATGTCAGATGTGAAGGCCCTAGCTGGCCAGCTTCAACTTGGCTTTGAGGTTTTGCTTAGCGGCCAGTTCGGCGACGTGCGGGGCCCATGTTGGGGCGATCTGGTGATTGTATGTAATTTTTGGATGTACATCCCGCTTGGTGGCCAATACTTGTAACTAATACACACACCACACACACATCAGAAATTGGTTTGTCAGGAACTGGTCGCATCCCATCTACTGAAATTGGTTTCACCGTGTCATCTACGAGCTCCCATCTATGCTGACTAGTTCCACATCCCAGCAACCCCTAGGGCCCTATAGGGTCCTAGGGATGGGGTGCAGTTGGCAGGTCATGGGTGGTTCTGTTGTTTCTGATGGCTACAGAGCTTCGTCGCTGTGGCCCTTTTTCAGAGCAGGGTGCTGAACCCATGGATTTGGATTGATTTGGGGGATAGCTTCCAGTAAACTCACCTACCTACGGACAATGGTCCATTTATATTTATACATGATGTTCCTATCAGCAAGAAGATTTTCAATACTTATGTTAGTTTATCACAGGGTACATGATGCTTAATTGTTGGACAAGACCCTGTTGATGTGGGATGCCTCGCCCAAATAAAGCAGATGCACATATACATTTCCAAGTTGAATTCAGAAACCACGAAAGGCTGTTGGGAAACATGCATGCTCTAGTACGTATTGCCTATCACTCGGGGCTTGCATGTGCCTGCATGAGCGTTCCAAAAGAAAACATGTTTTCTCCGAGTGACCCACGCCAACTGACATTCTACAGTATTTTGTATGTATTTCCTAATTTTTTCTGGCGCATTTCCTGACACATTCTATCTCGCATTCCTTCTGTCATGTTGTTTGCCAGTCTATTTGGCATTATGGGCGCCGGGTTCTACGGCTCACGTGCATCTAGCAGCATTTTGGGATGGCTACATTTCCAACTAGCCTGGACAATATGATTAATTAATTGTGAATGATTATGACTTTATGACATAATATTCTGTAGCAAATTATCATCAATTAACATCAAGTAGCTAATTTATAGCAGTTGTGGTAATCAGGCAAAGTGATCACCCCAGCAAAAAAAAAAGCGATGGTGATGGTCTGTTAGTCCAGTCAAGGTGGTGCCAAAAATGCTGGGCAAAGCTGCACAAGATATTAGTGCAGAGAGTTAGTGGCAGAATGTTGCAGATAGATTTTTTACTGGGTATAGTAACTGAATATCATTTAATAATAATAATTGATTGTAGATTCTAGATATTTATCTAGTTAAAATTAGTTCCATACAAGTAACTGGGTGTTTTTGAAGCTCTAATAGATTTTTCACTGGGCAGATAGGCCGAGAGTTGTCCCAGTGATAGGCAACGGATGACCTCACGGGGTGTCACTGCAGATGTTTTCTACAGGGGACCATCATTGTTTTCAGCTTGGTGAATGATGATGACTTAGTCAGTTGTAACAAATGGATAGATCGGATAGATGGATTATGATGGATTACATGCTATTCCCATGTCACTCCCACCCCTGGGGTCCTCATATTCACCCCTAAAGACTCCCAAACATGCTGTTATCCCTTACATCCCATGGTTGTTTAATTTGAATGGGAGAATGAATGATGTTTCCATTGCTCGTATCAGAATCCCGCCACAAAAAAAAAAGTACACTCCCCATTCCCATGTCATTCCCTTGTTATTCTCATATCCTTCCAACGATATAGGGTGGTGCCCCATAGTTGTCCAAGTTAGTTTTGAAGCCCAATAACTAGAGTTTTTGGTGATGGCGATGGAGAGAGATATATATATATTATATATATATATTATATATATTATATATATATTATATATATTATATTATATATATATATATATTATATATAATATATATTATATATATATATTTGTGATTTTATCTATATATATATATTGTATTTCCGACGTTCTTCCCTTTGTTATTCCGAATGTTTAGGTCACTTTCATGGGGATCAACGCCAGGCCTGGCCACCATTTGCGCCTTCGCCACGGCGATCCCCTGCGTCGCTGAGTCGCCGGTGTTGTGGTCAAAACATGCCAACAAAACCCATGGAGTTCATGGGGATTTCACCATGAACCAATAAAAACGCTGAGATCATAGAGTTGTAATGGGATTTTTTTTTCGCAGTTTGTTATAGAAGCGAAATTTGTAGGTCAATCATACAACTGAATGTGCGATTTTTCTATAGCTATTTGTTAGAATACCAGCGAGGTGGTCCGTTTTTCCTCATGTGGGTGCCAAGTTGATTGGAAGGGGATGACCATTTTATATATATATATATAACTCCATGGGATTGTTTGATGTGGCATTTTTGGTTGCCAGTGGGCAGACTCCGATGGTTGTTGTTTTGGCCGTTGCCAAGTTGGTGGCTGCCGTGGTTTGCGGGGGGGCCATTGGAAAGTCCATGCTCAACCTGCAGGAGCGTCGGGACCTCAGTGACGCCAGGTTGGGCTGAAGGTAATTCAACATAGTGAGTCAAAATTATCCATGAAAGTGTGGATGATTTATATACCTGGTAAACAGGTCCATTTTCTTCAATTTACATGACATTTGTTAGATTACGGGTGGGTGCGGTTTCTGGCAATACACTGCTCGTTCTTTGAAGGCTTAAGCCTCCGAAAAACAATGTACGATAAACTTAAGAAAAGGATGATAATCAGAAGGATGATAATCAGAAGGACATACATAGCAGAAACTGCCATTTGCATAATTATACAAGGCAGACTGAAACTTCTCTCTTAAGCTTCAGCTTGCCGCAGCATATATCATATATTCTTAAGGGGATGCAATTTTTATGGAATGGTTAGAGCGTGCTTACAAATTCCAATTTGGCTTTCGATCTTCTGGGAATGTGTATATATATATATACACCATATATTGGAATCATTATATACCATACATTTGTATATGATTACCATATATAATTATTATACACCATATATTTATAGTGTTGCAAACATTTGCAGACACAATGCTAAAACATGCAATGTAAACCAACTATTTTGGGATGGTCTATGACACCACCTATTTCCTGTAAAATATTGGTGGGATGTTTATATCTATCAAAAAAAACTATCATATAGTTTCTATATATACCATATAGGTATAGTTATGATATGTATATAGCTTATATTATATATACAGTTTTTTTTATTTTCCCCTCTCTCTCTCTCTATATATATATATATCCATATAGACCATATAGTTTATATATATATATATATGGTGTGTATATATATGTATATATATATATACACACGCAATTTCTACACATACCATATGTAACCTGCTGCAAGTTTGCACGTTCCCACTGGACGTCAGGTACCGATAAACGCGTCGTGACTCTGAGAGAGGTGCTCTTTGGAGCCCGGCGGCACAGATGGAGCCACTGGGGAGTTCCCATTGGATTACCGGAGAGTATATATATATATATATATCTGGTTGGTGGTTTGGAACATGTTGTTATTTTTTCATAATATATATATATAATATAATATATATATATATGGAATATTATGGAATAATCCTTCCCATTGACTAATATTTTTCAAGATGGTTGAAACCACCAACCAGTATATGTATAGTTGCACAGTGGTTGATATTTTTTCTGGTTGATACATGTTGATATGATATGATAGAATATGTTTGCATCCAGATTTGCACAGATATGGATATAGACAGATATGGAATGATATGGATATCAATTTGCAGATATAGAAGATGTAGCGTTTTGCAGCACTGTTTGGCAAGATTGGCACCCCAACAGCTCCGTTGCAGCCAAGGTTCGAGTGGTGAAGTGCTATGGTTGGGAGGTGGCAACCGGGACTGCCGTGGCTGTAGATTTAGGCATACACATAACCATATACCCCTACCTCCAAAAAAGATGCGAAAACAAATTACTATATACTGTAATATGTATAAATTACCACTAAATTTCATAGTTAGATTTTGATTTTCTATCTTTTTGGGGGTTGCTGGAGGACAAAGTGGCGGAAACATGCGGAAACCATGTATATTGTTGCTTCTGGAGAGTATTTTTCGGACATACATGCACATATCACGGGCATGGTTCAAAACTCAAGACCTAAGCACCAGAAGATTTTGAGAGATGGTCATGTTCATCCGTAGAGTAGCCCACCAATAGGAATGAAGTCACGTCTCACGCGTGCTGCCGCAGATGGCCATGGAACAAAAATTGGCCAATCTCCGAAGCCAAGAGGTTGGCGCTTTGAGGTGGCCAATGGCTTCAGGGGGCACAGACGATGGGGACAAACTTGGAGATTGGACCTCGGGGGTTCGGGATTTCGTGCACAACTTCCTGGGATTTCAGAGCTATTAGCAGCCAAAAAAATGAAGGGCCACAGCCCGGCCACAGCTGCGAACACGCCACAGTTACTGGGTGCCAGCCCAAGTGACATATCCCACGGCCGGCAGGTCCTACTGGCACATCAGCTGTGCCTGAATCCAAGGACATGGACGACATGGGATGTTATGGGGCATGAATTGAGACCCCTGGAGACCATTGATTTTTTAATAGTTTTCATGTTTTTTCTAATGTTCCATTCTGCTTGGGCCGAACTGGGGTGCCCAATTTTGACTCGTACCCATCCAGGGACGCCATTGACAGTTACACGGCCCAAGGATTTGCTTGCTTTGACCGGCACCTTTTGATTGAATGGCTCGAATACAAAGGTGTCGGCTTTCCAACCCTTTGTAATGGTATGAAAATCGTTCAGACAGAGACATTCCTCAATTGCTCCGCCTTGGCTCTCAAAGTCTTCTTGCTGTCTTGATCATCTTCTTCATGACTCAATTTCTCATGATTTTGAATAATTTTGAGAGATTTTGATCTGAAATCATGGTTCAATCTTGGATTTCAGCCTTGTCTCTAGAAACTTGGCCATTGCCATTGCAGCACCAAACTGCCTCAGCATCCTCAGCCGAGGTCCTCACTTCCATCATGTTGTTGTTCCCTCGCTTGCTCATTTGGTCGGGGGGCCAGGTACTACAGAATACTTCCGCAGCTACAAACTGCTGATTTTTCTGCCAAGGAAACTGCAGATTTTCTCCCATCCAGGGTGTGAAAATCGTGAGGACATGTAGGTGATATTTCAACTGCTTAAGGCTTAGGGCGTGGAATCAGCCAAGAAATGTGGACTTTCTTTCTGGATCTCTTTTTTTAGGTGTTGAATTAATAATAATTAGATATAATTAGGACTTTTCTCAGTTTTATAGGTTTCCCATTTGCAATGGTCAAACCATGTTAAACCATCATTTTTCCAACATGTTTCATCCTTGAAACCACCATTGTCTCAACACCTTTGGCCACGTCCAGGGCCGGCCTGGTGGGCTATGCCGCCATCTACGGCGCACATGATGCCGGAGAGCTCAGATCATCTCAGATCTCACCATGGGGAGTTCTGCTTACCATACTCGTAATTGGTTATAGTTACCCTCTGGTTATGTCAAAATAGCTATTGAAAATGGCCCATTTATAGTGGATTTACCCATTAAAGATGGCGATTTTCCATAGTTATGTTAGTTTACCAGAGGGTAGTCATAGTCAGAGTCATAGTTGAATTATTTATAGTTGACTGGTTGGTGGCTTGGAACCCATTTTTTATGGGATAATCCTGACAAAATTGACGAACTCCATCATTTTTCAAGATGGTTATTGCACCACCAAGCAGTTGATATCTCTTTATCATTTTGCAAGGAACTCGGGAACATTAAGGGAACACTTCGGGTGTTTCCATTCGAACCCTCCCAGGTTTTTTTCGGACAACCGAGGATAGGATTGGTGAAATCGGTGAATCCTTCATTGAGTTTGGGGATTTTCCATGGCTATGTTAGTCATAACTGTCATAACCAGATGGTATACCAATTGTTAAAACATACTGTGGATGATTGCGAAATCCTGCATCTTGGATGGTTGAAAGCCAGTAATGAGATGTTTACATATATGTTTACCACCTATCAAGTTGTGCAGAATTTCGCGAACATCCACAGTATTTCACAAATGTCCGTCTCAGGTCGCCACCATCTTCACGAGCCTGCAGATTCTGTGCGCCCAGAGAGCATCATTCTGGAGCACTGTATGCTTGGGACACTTCAATATATGCTGTTTCAACTAAGAGTCCGATATGATTATTTTTTCAAGCAGTTCTAATGATCATATATATAATATATATATATATATTGGATGATCATTCGATTCTTTAATTGAGAGGATAATCCACAGGAACCCGGAGGCACACTAAATTTGAACCCCTCACATTTGATGATATTTGATGTTGAAACAGCATTTACAAAAATATGCAAAACAAAAAAAAGAACACACAAAATCAATATAAATGAGAGACATCAAAAGAACCATGAAAGGAAAACACAACATGTTAAAAGATGTTAAAAGAACATTGAAAACCCATGGTTTCCCGGTGTTTCCGGGTGAGTTCCAACTGGGACGGCACAGGGCGTGCCTGCGTGGCTCCTGCGAAATTCTGGCGCAGAGCCACGCGCTGAGCGCGGGATCAGCGCGGGACATGGAGAAAGGACACATGTAAAACAAGAATCTATGATACATGATGAACTGTGGGAATTATATGGTATATATAATTATATGTATATAAGTATTGTTTAGTTATATGCTAATAGGTTATATTATTTATATACACTATTTATCTTATATACATATAAAAGTACGTATATATATATACACATAACATGTATATAGTATATATATATATGCACATTCTATCCATATATTTAATCTTATTTGTTTGTGTGTGTGCAGCTAACCATAGTAACATACACTTCCCAAGTGGGATCATTCCCTGCCCTTGAGGCTTGGCGAAGGTTGCTGCCATCTCGCTGGGGGACTCAGGATGGCCGATGGCCTTCTTGGATCCCCAATCTGGGACATGTTGGATCCCCAGCCTGGTAAACATAGAAAAAACATACAAAAAGCTATTGAAAATGTCCATAGAAATAGTGGATTTACCCAATAAACATGGTGATTTTCTATAGTTATGTAAACCTTTACCAGAGGGTATGGCTCAACCGGCTCAACCCCTCCCATATCCCCGATATGTTTTGTTTCTCACATCACCAAGTGGTTCCTGCTGCATTCCAAGCACAGCAGGCCCAGCCTGACTCGAATCCAAGCCTTCCTCAAGCTACCGGAAGCGCAGGGAAACCATACAGGGAGTGGGCCAGGCTTGCTCAGATACCTGGTTGGTCCAAGCTAAGTTGTCTATGCATTCTACATGCAACTGTATGTAATTGGGTGTGTGTTATATATAATGTATACACACAGATATAGATAGATAGATATATATATATATATACATGTAGACCCATGAAATGCAGGATTAAACATCCAAAACAGAGGTCACCAGGAATACGTCTTCGCTGGAGGCCTGAAAACGGCCCCCTTATTTTCAAAATGGGAGCGGGATGCCCCAAGTGGGCCATGGTAACCCACATGGTCAAGACGGTAAATACATGGTAGTCACGTAGTCATGGTTAAGGTATACTTCCCTTGAGGACCCTTGAAGTGGATTGGTTTCCATTTTTTTAAAGGGTGAACTATATAGAAGTGGGATGTAAGTACATGTATGCATGTATATATATATATATGTATATATATATATGTATATATGTATATATTGGGTGGTTAAATGTATTTGACATATCCAAATACAATTATAGAATTATATGCACATACATGTCTGGTGCTTTGGAACATGTTTTCCCATTCAGTTGGGAATGTCATCATCCCAACTGACGAACTCAGTCGACTCAGTCGAGGCCAACGCTTCAAAATGGACAGCCACAGTGGTTGCAACATTGGCCAACTTCTGGAGGCCCTTCCGGCGGCGAAGGTGTCAGGCCTATTTTTTTGGGGGGGATTTTCCGGACACCGACGGATAAAAACAACACCACCCTTTTTTTTTTGAACGGTTGATGTTTTTTTCGGCAGATGTCCTTTGAACCAAAATCTAGTGTGGGAATCGGAAGGGGCGGAATGTTCAGCCAGTGTTAATTTACATTTTTGAGTGGAATGTCCACTGCGTAGATCACATACATACATACGCACGTGCCTACACACACATACATTACATTGCATTGCATTGCATCGCATCGCATTGCATTGCATTCCATTAATTACATTACATTACATTATATACATTAATGTGCGTGTGCATGTGTGTATATATATGCAGAGTTTTGCAGAGTGGCATATGTGATACAACACATCAGGTAATTTGTGGGGGAAGTCCTGCGGATTTGGGCTCCGGAAAAGTTTGTAAAACGAGACTAAACGAGAGATGTTTTTACGCTGACTCATGAATGAACCTCTGGAGGACAGGGGTTAAGATACTGATTCCATCAAGTTTTGCTAGTTCAGTACTTATGATTGAACATAATTGAACTGTATTATCTTTATTTTTATGGTCTTGTTTCCTCTGTTCGAACAGGTTGATTCCAATCCCTTCCAAGATTGCCCCCAAACAACCCCCGATTTGGCTTTGGATAAATTTTGGGCTGTCATATGAGGGGTATTTAATCTTGTATGGGCCATATACTCCTCATTTCAGGATGCTTAAACCACCTGGAACCATGTCGCAGGTGAATTTGTCAAGGTGCAAGGCACCTTTTGTTGGAGTCCGGGCCCCCATCACCACAATTGAGACACGTACGTGGGCAAACAATATGAGACATTTTGGGGAAGTAGCATCTTTATACCATTTCAATTAGGATGTACTTTCATAATGAAACATACACATTCTATCATTCTTTACTGCATTCTACTGCTATATTTTGATATTTAGGATATTTGACCATTGTATATTCATGTATTCTGCAATCCTTTTGTCGTAGTTGCTGCTTGATAGCTGGGATATTGCCCCGGGCAACTGGTCTCAGACTGGGCCAAAAAAGGCGCCGCTGAAATCGTTAACTCCAGGTGTGCACCCATGGTGATTCAATGACATGCCAGCAGTATACAGCAGTATGATTTCGCAAGGATATCCCAGCAGAATATGCTGAACAGATCTGAACAGACAAGGAAGAAGACCAATTTCAAGACTATCAGTGCAGTCGCGGCCTTTCTCGGAAAGAACTGAATTGTTTTTGGAAATAGGGACAGGGACACTGCTAGAATTTATTGACGATAAAACGTGCAGAACATTGCAGAACATGTCTGTAAAGAGTAGGGAGGAAAGAAAAAAGAAGCAGGGTGAACAATCGAACTGAGAAATCCCTCACATGGTCACTATGATAATCTACTGTAATCCCATCTATGTATGTGCATATATATATATAATTATGATTATATATAGCATTCTGTTTTTATAATAATACTAGAAATGACACATCATAAATAATAGGACACAATAATAATGTATAACGATAAATGATAAGATAGAGAGAGAGAGAGATGACGCTCCGCAACCGAGCCGGTTGCCGTTGAGCGTCCGCTGACCCGGCACCGCTTTCACCCTCCGTTTTCACCCTACGTCTCATCCGCGCCCGACCTTGCAGGGGCAACAAAGATTGGTATCGGGTCACAAACAAAATATGAGATCATCACACTGTTTAAGGAATCACTATGAGATCATCATCCCATGAAGCGCAGGGAAACGCCGGGTTCGAAAGGTCGAGCCATGTCCCTTGGTCAACATGGTCAATGGCCCAGGTGCAGATTTGGCCACGCCACCGGCCATTCGACAGCTCCAGCTGCAAGTGCCTTGCAGGGGGGCTTAGTTTGCTTGGTCGTCGCCCCAGGAACATCTGGAATCAGGGTAGAGATGGTAGAGCCCTGCATGAATTTATTGAATTGGCAATTATTGATCATCAATTTTAAGTCTTAAATTCTACACTTAGATTCTTAGATACTTCCCCTCTTGCGACTGGCTGAGTTGGAGGGGAATATTGAAATCCGCTGTTATCGATAGATTTTCATGGGGCATTCATTGACATGGTCCAATGGTGTAGTTCTGAACTAGGGGATGATTATAAGTAGTATATAACTCATCCAATGAGGTCAACAGGTCCACGATGAATGCAAGGGGTATTCCAAAAAATGCAGTAATTATTTGAGGTTGGTGAATTGCTATGTTTTTTTCCAGCTACATTGCGACATGCATCCCAATAGATGCGGGGAAATTGTTTGGTTGCAGCTTCCCAATCATTTCAGTTGCGACCTTTCGCAGATAATTCCGGACATTTTGAATACATGTTGAAAAGCCCATTGATGAATTACTATGAATTACTCACTTTAATCATCTTTACCCTCTGGTGAACTAACATAGCTATGGAAAATGGCCATTTATAGTGGATTTTCCCATGAAAAATGATGATTTTCCATTGCAAACTGTTAGTTCACCAGAGGGTACTCAATTTTACCATTCGGTGGCATGGAAAGTACACCAAAAGAGGATTCATGGCTGCGACATGGCAGTCTCACCGGAGATGGCCAGCCATGGGGGAAGAATCGGTATTTTGACGACATGAAGAACGACCATTAGAACAACACATCAAGGTCAAAATGATAGAAGCCCGCACGTATAGTTGAGCAAGAAACTATATATATATATTATATATATATTTGACAGAGTTTATTGTTTTTGGAAACTGATTCGCTGTTTGGAATGCATGTCAAGTCTAAGTAAGACTACCCTAATGAAGTAAGGTGGAAAAATAATTAGATGCAAACATGACCAACTCTGCGATTGCTTCAGCTTTGGTGGCACATGTTTGAAACCAATCAATGTCCTTATTTCAGGTGATGTTCAGTGTTGTTGTTTACATCATCATGACATGATGTGACATGGATTTGGGTAGACCAACTAGGAATCTGATCACTTCTGGCAACCAAGGGTGGAGAAAAAAAGATCGCGCAGCCGATGAATGTCCATCAGTCCATTGCGCAAGTGTATTTAGTGTTTTTGGGGCTAGTGGCCTAGCCCTACATTGCCCTACCATGCATCATCATGTATCTTAGAACAACTTAAAGTGATATTTTGGAAATTTTTGGAATACCTGATTCTCATTGATTCTCCAAACATTGATGTAAAACTCGGAACTTGACTCAATCTCAGTCCCAGGTGGCGAGCTGGTCGCGGTGGTGGGGGGTGTCGGCTCGGGCAAGAGCGCCTTGCTACAGGCCGAAGCCCGTACTGTTGGAGGATCATCCCACGTAGTAAGTGGTTAATAACCATTGGTTAGTAAATCCTGTAAGATGTAGGTGGGTTATTCCATGTATAACTGGGTTGTAACTCCAGTTACTCACCAGTTACTAAGTGGGATGATCCTTCATTCAAGTACTTTTTTTTAGGGGTTAGCGCATTGCGGGGGCACCACTACACTTTGGTGGCATGGCACAATTTTTTGTGCATTGCTTCAAGTGGCTACGTTTTATGCCCATTTCGTATAGGGAAAGATGGGATGCCCCATTTGAATCCAACGGTTGGTGTTTGACCTTTGGGATCCACTTGGACCAATGGCATGCAATGGCAGTATGCCACCAGTCCCACAAGTCTCCTGCTATATATGCTTCCCTACGCTTCAGCTGAAAGAGTTGTTAGCTCAAACTTTGCCGTCTCTGTGCAAGCACGATGCCCAAAGCATCGGCATCAGTAAAGTGAAAAGCCCAGTCGAAAGGGGAAGGGTGCCAGAAGCCCAAAAAGGCGATCAAACCCACTTCGAGCTCAAAGCCAGCTCTGCCGAAAGACCTTTGGCTCATAAGGTTCGAAGAATCTGGGGGTGCGCGGGCATAGGTGACACAGCCATGGATGACTATCTTTATGGAGATGATTGGCAGAACGGACTTGAGGGCCTTGGAAGAGAGGACGAAGACAACTATTGCGAAACTAGAGATTTCAGGAAATCAGTCAGAGACTCTGGTTTGATTTTTTCATTGGAGTCCGGTGTTAATTCGCAAATGTTTTACCAAGTCTCGCTGTACAAAATAAAGGTGCAGGATCGAAAGTTTTTGGCAGTCATTTGTGCTGCCTCATTATAGCGCGGAAACCTCCAGTGAGTCTAAGCTCTCGGCAAATTGTGCCCACCTCTTGGCTAAGCGCAGATGGCTGCAGAAATCTTGACAACTTCGAGTTGGAGAATCTTGTCAGGAAAAATGCGCGTCTCGTGCGCGTAGCCGCCGTTGTCCTGCTGAGGTCTCAAGTGTCCATTGTTTATCTCTTGTTGTGCTTTCGAAGAGATGTCAAACCACACTTAAGTAGCCCCCTGACATCCCCTGCCGACTTTGACCATTCTCCATCCTTCTTCAGCATCATGCTGACATGTTCAGGCCATTTTGGGTGAGCTCCAGCCCGATGAAAGCGAGGAAAAGGCCTTGATCAGTTGGCAACTCAGGGTTTTCCATGAACTGCTCCAAGCCGTTTGACGCAGCATGGGATAATTGAAAGGTTGGGCAGTTCAGCAACCTTGATTGTTGTTGCCATTCCGATTGTTGGAGTACCAATTGGGATTGTTGGAGTGCCAAACATAAATAACACACATATAATCACATATAATCACATATAATCACATATATATATATACATATTTACTATATTTTTCTTTAATATTATGTGAAATAATATGATATAATACAATAAAAACAAAAACATATGATATAATTTCATAGAAAAGAACAGAATAGAATAGAATAGATACGATAGATAGATAGATAGATAAATATATAGATAGATCGATAGATAGATAGATAGATTGATTGATTGATTGATTAGAGATAGATTAGATAGATGAGATAGATTAGATAGATTAGATAGATTAGATAGATGAGATAGATGAGATAGATTAGATAGATTAGATGGATTAT